TACTGGTCATAAAACCTCATTTGAAATAATTTATTGGCTAAATTGAACGGAGCTAATTGGTCAATAGTTAAATAATATACTTTTTGTTTTTAAAAGATTTTATTGGAACTAATATTTCGATTATATTCTATAGACATCTTTTCTGAAGTACACTGAAGCGATATAGTACCCTGAACATGATTACTGAATATAGCAGAAATATTAGTTCAAATAAAAATTAAAAAAAAATATTTTTTTAAAGTGTTTTACTTAACTATTGACCAATTAGCCCGTTAAAAACAAAATTATTGTTATAAACAGAAATAATAAAATTTAAGAATACGTAAAACATTTAAAAAATTAAATAATTATAAATCATTTGTAAACCAAAAAAGCTTTAAATAAAGCTAATTATTCTATTAATTTATGGATTAATTCTACGTATTAAAATATTAAAAAAATAATAATTATTAGTTACTATGGGCCAATGATAAATTAATCTAAGATGTAACAGTTCAATCAATAAAAATAATAAAATTCAGAAATACACAAAAAATAATATTAAAAATTTAATAATTATAAAATACAACAAAAAAAAAATTATTTGTGTATATTATTTTACTTATTTTTTTATTTTAGTTAATTTTATTAAAAATTTGTTACTTATGGGTCAATGTAAATATGAACAAAAAATATTAGAGTTCGTTTAATAACAACAACAAAATATAAAAATGCAGAAAAAAAAAATGATTGAAATTAAATAAAATGATTCAAGTTAAATAAAATTATTAAATATTTTATATTTATTGAATTTTAAAAGTACACAAAAATATATTAAAAATTAAATGATTGTACAACCCACAAATAAATTGAAATTAAGTTAATTATTCTGTTACTTTGTTAATTATGTCTCAAATTACATATAAACTTAAAAAATTAGAATTCATTCAACAATAATAATGAACTATAAAAATACATAAAAAAGAATTAAATTATTAAATTATTGTGAAACACAAATATAACAAAAAAACTTAAAAAATGTTAATTATTCTACTAAATTAATTAATTATGCGTCAATGTTAAAATAAACCGTAATATGACAATTCATTCAATAACAACAATAAAAAAATAATAAATAAAAAATTAAATAAACAAATACAGATAAATGCTATGCAAATAAAACATAAAAAAAATTAAAATAATATTATGTATTCTATTTAATTCCAATACATAAGATGAAATAATTATATTAAAAAAATTATAATAAACAGAATATATGTATGGGTCATCGAACACACCATGCGCTTATATTTGTCCTACAGTCGTGAACGCGAAAAACTCTTTACCGGATGAAATATTGTAATGTTCAGTTCAATTTGATGAATACCAGAATAATGTTATAACAAATTATAACATATCCGTTTTATATCTATAAAAGATATACGTGTATTTATTTATATATGCTGCTTAAATGTTATCTCATATACACATTATGTGCACATCTCATATACTTTTTGAGCAGACTTCAAAGTAGTTTTCTACATGATTATAATGATGAATAAAATGTTATTTATCAGTTAAAAACTATGGAATGTCAAGATAAAGTATATGCTTCAAACCTTGAATTATATGTAAGGTACATGACAGAATTCTAGAACTGTAAAATCAAGAGAGCTGTTAAATTGGTCGCATGCAATTCCTAAAAACTTCAGGAAAATCGTACATTGCATTTTGTGCTATTAAAAAAGCTAAGTTCTGGAATTGTAAAGAGTATAGCTATTGATAGGATTAATAATTTATTCTTTTGTAGTTTTATTAAATAAGATCTGTTCCTGCTTTTATCTGACTAATATAAGTATAATAAATGGTGATGGTCTTATTTGTGCAGTACTTAAAATTAAATTGTAATAATAAATGAACTTCTGGTGGCTTTAGTAAGTGTATCAACTGCAAACTTAATTTTTTTAAGTGAGAATTTAAGTTATATTGATTAGTTTATGTTAGGTACTTATACACATTAAAATAACTTAAATTAATAATCAAATGAGCATCGGAGATATATGAAGAAAAATATTTTGTAGCTTCCCAATTAACTGCTTTCTGTTAATTTATTTTCATAACAACATAATTAAAAGAGTCAACGTATTGAAATATTTAATTATGTTATTTATTATTGCTTTAAAATATTTTCAAAGTGAAGTGTTTTATTTTAATTATGGTACGCGCTAATTGGTCAGTCAATTGTAGCACAATTTATTGATTTTCAAACATTTTTTAAAAAAGATTTATTTGAACAGTAGTAAACTATAACAACAAAAATTTTATTATTTTTTATATTATTTTAATTAATTAAATTTTTGGCTGTCCATACAACTGTTTCAATAATTCTTGTATTTAATTATTCGTAAATAATTATTTTTTGAGACTGTAAGTACCAGGAATCAAACTAGGGTCCTGCTAACAGTTTTTTATTAAAATATTTGGATGGATATTTTGATTAAAGCCAATAGCCATCTTCAATAAATTAACTAAAATTGTATTTGAATAAATTGACCGATTAGCTCGTTTCTTAAATAATATAAACATTTTGTAACAAAAATAAATAGAAAAAATAATATGAAACTAAATGTTATTTGAAATATGATATTTCAAGTGAATTATGATGAAAGAAACGATTTTCTAATAGAAGTTTATCATAAATAGAAAATCGGTAACTGTTATGTATTTTAAACAAATAAGTCCAATAATCCTTGCGTTTACTATTTCCATATTGGTTTCAATATTATTACTATCTGTAGTATAATTTTGTGTCAATTCATTATAGTTAAAATTTATGAATAATTATATTGTTGAAAAAATATTCAGTTAAAAAAGTTCTAAATTTTTTTAAATAATTATAAATTATAATAATTATTAATTTAATAGTAATAAATAATAAAGTAATAAATTAAATAATTAATTAATAAATTAATTAAATAAACTACAGTAATTATTGTATGAAAAAAGAAGTATAAAAAACTACGTTTAAAAAATGTTTCAATATTGAATTATGTTTTCTTTTTATATTCTTTTTTATTAATATTATTATTAATTTAAATATTTATGGTGTTGAAAAATAAAAAATAACAGCTATTTGTATCTAGTAATCAGAAATTCTACAGTTCCAATTTATTGTACGAATTCGCTTACTTCATTCATTCAAAATATTCAATACCTAAGTAAAAAGAAAATTTTAATAAATATATATAAATAAATTATGTATATAAATATAGTTAAATAATATATAAAAACAAAAAAAAATTTATTAATAAATTTAAATTCATAATATATATTTTTAAATCATATACTTAATTAATATATAAAATTATGACGAAAAAAAATTATAATTACATTGTTCTATATCTCTTTCATACATAAACGTATTATTCTATTAGCAATTTTTTTTTAATTCAAACTTCAGGAACTTATTTTTTTTTTACTTAAAAAATAGGTTGATGCTAAAAGAAAGAATAATATATAATATGAAGTTGAAGTAAATATCTAAATCTGGAACGAAATATTTGGATATGTTAAAATTAAAATTTTTGAAATAATCCAGTAACACTTAATAGTTTGTTTAAAATTAAATAAATGCTTACACATAATATTTTGAAAATAAATTATTTATTATTTCTTTTTGCCTTTTGTTAATAGCATTTTAATGCATATTTCTCTAACAATTTAGATATTTTTTTTTGCTTATTTCCGGTATATGTAAGTTTAACATCTGAGGTTGTTTTATAGTTTGCTTTATATAGTTTATAAAATACTTTAGTTAGCTAAACAATTTTAGTTTAGTTCTTTAAATCAATGTGATATAATTTAATTTTTTGCTATTTTTATACTGAGCAATTTGAGTTCATCACAGTGTTATATTTAACAACAAATTTATAAGTTCCTATATTTTTACACATTATTGTTATTATTGTTATAAATCCTATGCTACATAGCTAATAAATTATACGAAAAATTAAAAAGGAATTAACTTTTATTAACTATTTTATAATTATGGCATTTATATGCATTTTTCCAAAAATTTTTATTGAAGTAATGAAAACAATTCAGATATTCAATAGATATAAACATTTATATAATAATTGATTAATTTTTTTTTTTAGAACACAATTTAAAGTTAACTTAAGTATCAAAAATAAACTCTTTTAATCAAAAGGACTAAGAACTACTAAAGAAAAAAATTTACATTTAATTTAAAAATGTCAAAATAAATTACTTAAGTACAAAATTCTTGCATATTTTCATTTTTCGTATATAAAAAATTAATTTAATTAAATTAAATATTTAAATTAAGAATTCTTCTTCTTAGTTTAACTCTCTTAATCTTAAAAGTTCTGAGAGAAGTATGCCTTTACACTTTAAAAAATAGAATTAAAATTATAAATTAAATGCTTGCTACGGCCCTGCTACATAATATTGAGGCTTTGCTATACCCAATGAAGGAACTCCTAAACCGTGACAGAATTAGTTTTATTTTATCTAAGATGTAGCCTTATATGCTAAAAAGGAAAAAAAGATTAATAATTGAAAAATAATTGTTCTACAAAAATAATATCATCTATCATACATTTATTGACCAATTATTAAGTATATAATTATTATTTAAAATTTAAAAAGCTTATTCACAAACACATTTTATGCTAACATATATATTTATATATATATAAAAGTCCTTATCTATATATTTATCAGTAGTTAATAATTATTTCACATCTATAAATGAACAATAAAATCAACATAAATAAATTCAAAAATATTTTCCTATCTTAAAATTAATTAAATATTTTGCTTCTGGGTTGGCAACAATATTTGTATGTGTTTGATTCAATTTAACCTTATAAACATTTTAACTATTAACAATGATCATATAACGTTTTTTCTTGGAAAGTTGTCTTAATATTACAACATCAAGGAATAAGTAATGCTCCATAAAAAGACAAAAGTTTGTGCTTATGTTCCTGATAATATTAGCAGGAGACACCCTGTTTTGCCACAGTGTACCAAGTGCGCACCTTTACTAGCGAAGGTGAGTCAGGAGTTGTTGGTTCCCGGTCTTGTCGTTGCTCTTCAACTTCTGGTCCAACGACAGCAGCAACATCACTGCTGGCTGTGGCTGACTGTGCTAGTGGCAGTTGTGAAAAATGTTGCTGCTGTTGCCGTGACTCGTCAGCAGCGACAGTGGAACCGATATGCGCCGGACTGACATGTCGGCTACTGTAGCTGCTACCAGCCGTACTAGTTTTTGTACGTAAGCTTTGGGTGCAACATTGTCCATTGGTAGTTGCTGTGGCAGTTAAAGTTGGCGATAATTTTTGATTTGCATTTTGATTATGTTGTTCATTTGGTTCGCATTCAATTGTGATAATTGTACAGTGTTGTTGTTGTTGTGGTTGCTGTTGTTGTTGTTGTGTTGAGTGTATATGTTTTTTATGTTGTTGATGATGTTGATGTTGTTGGTGTTGTTGGTGTTGTTGGTGTTGTTGATGTTGATATTGGTGTTGGTGTTGGTGCGCTGGATGAGAGTGTGCATATTGATGTTGATGTGTATGTGTGTGTGTATAGATGTATGGGTGTGTATATTGATATTGTTGCAATTGCTGTTGCTGTTGATATGCGAATTGTTGCTGTATTTGCGGATGGTGAAAATGCATTGGCGGCAGGTGAACGTCACGTCCAAATTGCGGTCCAACTTGTGGACAACGAAAACGTATAGCTTCTTCATTGGCAGCATTTAAGTCTACGCGCCGTGTTGGCAGTATTTGATTCGTACCTTGTCTTGCGTCTCTACGATTACTTTTACTTCTGTTATGACGATTTTGACGATTTTGTTGTTGTCTGTGTTTGCTGCGTTTGCGTTGCCTGTGGTGATTCTGTTGTTGTTGTTTTTGCTGTTGCTGTTGTTGCTGTTGCTGCTCCTTCATACGTTGACGTTGTTTTATAAAACGTAATTGCAATTCAGACTGTGGACGCAAACAATGCCGACAGAAGGAGGAATCGTCACTTGTTTCCTCGCTTTCAGATGCCAGATTTGTTGTGATGCTTGCAATTGATCTGACATCTTCAGCTATTTCTTCGCCAATACATTGAATTTTTATCTCATTAGTCTTACCTCTACTTGCTAATTTATGTGTTTTTTTATCTATAGTTTTTTCCTGCTCTTTTTGATATTTAAGGTTTGACTTACGTTTGTCGTTATTTTTACTTCTTTCCTTTTGAGTTTGTCGTTGTTGTTGAGAATTTTTCTTTTGTTGTTGTTGGTTGTGACGTTTATTGTTACGTATTTTACTGCTGCCTGTCTCCAAACGTTTTAAGTTTGAATATTCATCTCCTGCGTCCATTGGATATGGTCAGAATGCTGTATCAAACACCGACATAGAACTCGAAATAGCCTCATCGTTTCGACACGCCTCCAGGAATTCTTCCAGTGTAACAACTCCATCACGATTTATGTCCATTTTCTGAAAAATTAAGTAATTTCATATTAATTTAAATTAGTTTTTTAGACTACGGATTGTAAACTAATTATGAAATTGGAATATTTCCTAAGACTACTGACAGTGTCTACAGTACATGGCAACTCTCGAAATAGCGTTGTATGATCAGCCAAATTTCAATAAATTAAATAAAATTTTTATCCTTGTCTTTTCTTTACTATTCGAATCCGTTTAAAAGTTAAACAGATTCTTTTCGTAATAAAGAAGCGTCGCTCTCGACAAGAAAAAATTAACATTAAAGATAATAAATTAATTTTTAATGTACGTTTTGACGAAAGAAACTAATTTCTTAATATAAGCTAATGTTTTCGATAGAAAGGTTTTTATCAAATAATAGTGAAATTGAAAGAACAATATTTTTTTTTATTATTATTTTTATTAATCAAATTTTTGGCTGAGAACATAATATATATGACTCCAAGAATATCGTAAGAAACTGACTAAAACCAAGTCGAAGGGGTGAATAGAGAAGATTTCCATCAATGACCTGGAGAGCAGTGTGGGAAACATTACCCTAGTACTTATGGGAGAGAGATGCAGTAAAAAAAAGAGGCTTAGTACGTAAAGAAGTAGGCTCATCCACGCCAAAAAGCACGGGCATGTTATCGGAAGACTGTGACAATTAAATAACAGAGTCTATTTATTTTGAAATAAGTTAAATACTGCACTAGGGTTTCAAAACTATATATAAACAATTCAATTATATATTAATAATTCAAGTTTGCGGGTCTAATAATTTACGTACAACTATATAGAAATATTTTCAAATTGTGGGAAGATATTGATATTTGAACCATTTTTGTTACGTTTTGTACGTTTGTTTCACAGATTAACCTCTTTGGTAAATCTAGATATATGTTGTTAGTTTCCAATATAATGTCCTCTTAATGGGGGTTACTCGTTTCTCAACAAAACTGATTTTACCCTTACCAAAGGGTAAGCTTTTGACCACATTTGCAAAATAACTATTGTGGAAGGATATCACTTTTATTTAACAGAAAGTTTTTCAACCAAACAGTTAAAAGGATGTATTAAATAATGCGAATAAGAAGAAAGATTTATAGATTTGATATTAAATTCTTTAATTTCAACAGTGGTAATTACTGAATTATACGTGGCTATCTTATCTTAGTAAAACAAAAATGTTTTCCTTAGTAGATGGAAACCTCCTTCTGGAACTAAAACATTTTACTTACATATTAATATTTTGCAATAAGTTTGGTTCAACTCTTTCTACGGTAATCAATTTGCTATTGGTAACTAAAAAAGTCCAACTAAAAAGTTATCGGCTATGACAATCCAATTAAATAGTTACTAATCAGTCATTACTAATCATAACAGGAGTAGAATTACTTTATTCTATTATTTTCCTATATCTATTCCATTAACATCCAACACTAAGTTTGTTTTATTTAGTACCAAAGTACTAGATCTAGTATCTAGTGGCTTTGTATTTAATTGCTCAAGGAGGTTACGGTTACCTTTAACTCTTCAACATAGTTCTGTTCCATTACTTGTGTTCAAAACGTAGTACTCGGAAATTAACAATAAAAAATAAGTTGAATTGAAATATTAGAACCCCTCACAGGAATTGCGAAATTTTACTTACAGTAACTTTTTTGTACTTCGGTCGACATAAGTTTCTTAAGTGTTTTCTACACCGATAAGTCATAGGTATTTAGTTGGCAAATAGAATCGGAGAATATAATATTGATTTTTCGTCGTCATTAACACATGGAATAATTTACTGCTGCTTTTATTGTACCATACATCATTCCATAAATGGGAGACTTTATATAATTAACAAATCGAAATTTCCGATAAAATAATATAAAAACTGAATGTTTTTCTAAAACCGTATAACCACTAAATAAATAGAAAAATTCGACTTTATGGTAATGCATAGAGAACTCTATGTAACCTTAAAATATATACGTTTAAAAGCGTCAGAATTTTCATACGCCTGTTGCGCGACAGTTTCGCTTATGCAGTTGACTGGGGTAGTTAATTGAGTGGATGATTGGATCTGTCACCGAAAGAGACAGAATATTCCTTGAGATTCAGAAGATAAAAAGAATTTTTCAAAAAGGAATCGGTTGTCAGTTTTACGAATCGATATGTGTAAAACATATTAACAGTAAAGTTATAGTAAAAATTATATATTGGTTTTATAATTTTACATTTTTTTCTCCACCCCACTACTTTATCAACTTTTAAAGTGTTTAAAATAAGTTATACATCTACTATAGCTATTTTGTAAGAGTATATAACTCCAAATCTTAATCAAGAGTATTTTTAATCAAAAAGATAGTGAAAGTGGGCATTTAATAATTGTATTTGTGGTATTGTTTGATTGTAGCAATTTTATATTGTAAAGTTCACCAAATATAATTATTAATAAAGTGTTATATGTTGAAATCAGTGATATTAGAATATTCCAAAAATATATATATTTATACAATCCTTTTTGATTGAATACAAAGAAAAGATAGTAGAATGAAAAACCTCTTGACCCAAAAATACATTAAATTATTTAACAAACAGAAATTATATCCAATTAAGAAAATTACGAATAACTCAGATAATTTTATGAAAAATTATTATTATTTAAATATTTAAACTGAGTATTATAAGTAGAATGTTTAATAAATACGACAGCTTAGTTTTGGTACGCTTTGACAATAACTGAACCAAGAAAAGAAAAATATTTGAACTACTTTCACAGAGAAACGTGGTTGGAATTGCTAAATAAATTCTCTGTCCCAGTCATTCCTACAGGCAATATTTTATTTGAAAGTCGTTACTATTTAATTATATTCAGTAAAGCAAAATCCTACACTGTGTTCATAATATATTATTGTCTCAAAGCTACATACATTCAAACTTATTCCTACAAGTAACAGAAGCTTTATTGTTTTATAGTTGCATATTATAACAAATTATACTGGATTTAATAATTCATTTATAAAATATTTATGCGACAAGAATATTATTTTTTGATATGCATAGCTCATTTTTCGAAGAAAATGCAAATCCCTTAAACCACTTTCAAAAATGCCCAAATATTTCGAATACGAGCACTACGTTCCTTTAATATATTTAGGTATATATGTATATATAAATATACGTATAGTAGGTACACAGTACGGAAATCTATCCAATTAACATAAAAATACTTAACAAAAAAGTAGGTCCAACAATACCTACAAAGTTAAGACTTCCTGTCCAACAGACGATATTATGAATTCAAAATGACATCCTGCTGTCATTTTTCGTTAAATTTCTTACTTATCGTTTCCGCATCTGATGTGCTTCATCTTACCACTCACCTGAAATATTTGCTCGACTTTGCCTTTGATTTTCTCCTCCTCCGGCATTTCGTCAGGCAGTCGTCCCATCAGTTCGTATATGGCAGTCACAATATCAGTCATTTCCTCCCTCGTAATAAAGCCATCGCCATTGATGTCGTACAATGAAAATGTCCAGCGTAATTTTTCCTCCACTGAACCACGCGACAGTATCGAAAGTCCTTGCACAAAATCCTGCAAATACAAAATAAATATGTACGAGTATTACATTTTCAGATATAAATAAAGTTGTTGGTAGTAAATAAAGAAATTGAAAATATGTTTTAAGAAATTGCTTGTAAACCGCAATTGCGAACATTTATTTTGTATTTTTTCAGAAAGAATCTTTCGTTGTGCCATTGAGTAAATATTTGAAAGGATATGGCAAATATAACAATGAGAAGCTTCCCGTTTGTTGGGGTTGTTTTGTAGATTAATCTTAAATTGCGCTTTATTGGGTTGTGATGATAAAGGAATTTAAGTCGTTTTTAGGAAATTCTTTATCAAAAAGGTTTTTATCAAATTATTTCAATTTGAATAATGCGATTTTGTTTTAAATGTTTCAAGTTACCTCAAAATGTTTTAAGTGTTCTTTAAGTGTAATGTAATAGTACCTGTCTCATCTACTATTACAATTAAGATACTTTAAATCGTTATAGAAAACTACTTATGTATCTAACTTCTAAGTGTTAGATATTGAGATTCAATTAATTTTACCTTTATTGTGTAAGTAAATGTATTATTAAATTTTTTTATTATTTTAATGACCCAAAAATACCTCCAATGGAGGTATAAAGTGATTCCTGTCGACTCTCTAATGAGGAGAAAGAAATATCAGAATATATTCTTTGCAACTGCTCAGCGGCGGCAAGACGACTACCTTGGAAGCGGGATCTTAGTCCCAAATCAAATAGGTGAAATTAAGCCCACAGCAATTACAAGATTTATAAGTAGTCTAAAATTGTCCTAGTTGGGCCTATAGGCGCACAATAGATTTCATAGGTCGGGGTGCTTTAACAGCCTATTACTTAATAATAATAATAATATATTTTCAAAATTCATATGCAAATGTTGTGCAAAACTTTTCGCCAGCAATACAACAAATTAAACTGGCCACCATCGAGCGCAATATGTCAGAGGAACTGAAGCGCTATAAGAAAACTTATCACAAAGAGGAGGAACGTTACATTCAGCAGATGTTGGTCGAAAATCCAATTATTGTCGAACGTTGTGGACTAACCACCAACACCACCTCAGGTTCAGAAGAACCACTTAGTCGTGAGGAACAGTTGCGACCTCAGCGTGCTGAATTTTGCCGGCGATCGCGCATTAATAATAAAATTAATAAGGCAAAGATTAAGTATCGCCATAAATATATTTCGGAGAAATATTCAAAAAACGTGCAAACGTTGGAACACCTCCGGAACGTCATAAGCCAAGCGGAATCACTTTTAATTCGTAATGGACTAAGTG